GGCAATCTATTTCAAATTTTTTTTTTCTATTGAAAATATTTTTAATTTTCTTTCTCGCAGCAAAATAATATTTCTATATTACATTAAAAAGACATGCACAGTAAGTTTCATACTATACATATATGTTTCCTAGTGTGTCAAATATCTATATGACGAATTACATTTACCTATAACATTCAATATCATTATTCAAAATAACATGCATTGAATAAAAGTTAGAATTGACTAGTATGAAATATTATTAGTTAAATAATCATAATTAGTAAACAAAAATTTTTAATAATCAATGACCATTTCATAGATGTCATATGATTATAAAAATGAGTCCGATTGGCCAAGTGTTTTAGATCAATCAATCTTCTATGAACTACTTTCATAACATTTATCAAACGGCATATAAAACTAATATAATACAAAAAAAAAGTATTTACTGACTGATAATGTTAATCTGGAAAGATAAATTTCATTAATGAAGACCTAGGAGAAACTATTCTCGTTTTCACTACTATACAAATACATTAGTTTAGTAAATGCAATTAATTTTAACTACAATAACTTATTTTGATGATATAGATGTAAGTCGATGTAAAAATAAAGAAGTGAAACATACCAAACAAAAGAACCATTTTACAAAAAAAAAAATAATAATAAATTATAATTATTATTTTTTTTTGTTTGTGTATATAATCTGAATCAAAATAGCCAAGTAAAAAAAAGCTTTTAAAAAGAACCCACATCTAAACACATTTTTTCTAGTTCCTTTTTGACCATTTGCACGTACACGTAAAAACAAAAAGAAGAAGCACTAAAACTAGATACTTTCATTATAAAGAATGGGTGAAAGCACAAAAACAAGTATTGCATCTGGGAAACTTATGAACATTTTCTGCCGCGATATTTTAATGTACTTTGCAGATAAAATAATGACATTTTTATTGGTCATGCAAGTCACAAAATGTTGTAAGAAATTTTTGTGGATATTTGCCAGATGCAAAGTTTGCTTTGGTAAGCATCTCCATGCATTTTTGATGATAAAAATACCTCGTTTTTATATTTTCTACAAGAACGTACAAAACGCTCGACCGAGAACAGTGTTTTATCCAGGATATTTTGGTATGTTAGATCTCAGCTTCATTGAGAGTATGAGATCCATATGAAACTTATGAAGAATGATATTGGAGCTAAATGATGAGATTTTATGAAAAAATTTTTGTGATCGGAATTTCCAAAAAAAAATAATATTTTTGCTTGTCTTTCCCGGAATTTTTTTTTGCCTTTTGTAGTATTTCACCTTTTAGAATTTCATAGTAAGCTACATCAAAATTTTTCGATAGATTTCAAATTTCACCGCGAAATAAGCATCCGTTCAGAAGTTATGACGTTTTGAGATTTTACTAAAATTTTTGCAGCATTTGGAAAATTTTCAAAACGTCATAACTTCTGAACGGATGCTTATTTCGCGGTGAAATTTGAAATCTATCGAAAAAATTTGATGTAGCTTACTATGAAATTCTAAAAGGTGAAATACTACAAAAGGCAAAAAAAATTCCCGGGGAGACAAGCAAAAAAATTATTTTTTTTTGCAAACTCCGATCACAAAAATTTTTTCATAAAATCTCATCATTTAGCTCCAATATCATCCTTCATAAGTTTCATATAAATTCCATACTCTGAAGCTGAGATTTAACATACCAAAAATCCTTGATAAAACACTGAACGAGAAGTACAATGAAGAGATTGAAAAATCTTGTTTTTTTTTGTTTAGAAATGAATTCTTGACGATAAAATTACGATCAATAATTTAATACAGTAAAATTTTCTCAATATTATGATCATGATTATATATTGGATTCTTTGCTAAAAAGTTTCTTGATCAATTTTTAAGTTTGTTTTCAAAATAAACCTACCGCATTTTCAATTAATAAATATGAAAGCATATTTATTGTTAATACACATAGTAAATGCTTCAAACTTATTTAATAACTTGATTTTCAAATATCATTAAAAAAAAGAGAATCCAGGCTCTTATATTGCTGAAAGCAAACAGAAAATAAAAATAAAAAAATGTTTTTATAACATGACAGTTGTTTTATTGACAGATTGATTTATATAATTAACAATGAACAGTAAATATTAACAATATTAAGATTAGCATAAAAACAATAAACTTAATAAGAAATTTAAAAAGAAAATATGAACAACTGCTCTGATGTTTTATTTATAGAAATATTAGTTTGTACCATTAAAGAACAAAGTTTCTTTTGATTTTAGAACTTTACTAGAAGAATTAAAATTATATGTGCTAAAATGCGTAAATTTTTGTAATTATTAGAATTAAAATCAACATAATGGTTATACAAAGTTCATAGCGTCAAATGGAACAGCTTTGTAATTATTGTCGGAAAAGAATCTATTTAATTGGCGTACTTTTTTTGAATGTATAAAAATTATTATTTTACTCTCTATATATAACTTTATTATTAGATATAATTATAATAGCGACATGTAGAAAAAAAAAAAGACTTAAAAATATTTTATTGAAATAGATCATGTATGGTTTTTGAATTTCATTGTTGTTAATACGAGAGAACATGTAAACTCTTTCAACTCTAATTAAAGAAAATCCTTGTGACAGATGATCAAATTTCCATTCATTAGTTACTAGAAAAAGATAATATTTTATCAAGGAAATTATTTTGAACCACCGAAAATAAAAACTAACAATAATTGTAGATAAAGCTAATAGTTTTACGAATCAGGAATGTCCATATATAATGCATGTTTATAGAGCCTGTTCAAAAATCACCGACAATGAAAATGATTTCATTTCGTCGTAAAAAAAAAGGCGTAATATGTTTCGGCATGCTATAGAAACAACATTTATTATTTCCGCTCTAGTAAATTCATATATATATAAGTTCTTAATTATATGAAATTTATGGCTTTAATTTAGATTCAAAGTGATTATTTTTTAATAATAATGAGTATAGAATCGATATTTTTTTTAAAATACTATCGATGAATTTTTTTCTTTTATCTTAAAAAAAGATACAACTAACTTATAAATTATTCGGCTATTATATAAAATAATGGCATAAAATTTTCTATATATAGAAATGCGTAGAACTATTTTAAATATGGAAAAAACCTAATTATTTTATTTCCTGAATGTTCTTTACATGAACAATAATAAGTAGATAGATAATCTAGATCCATTTCTTTTCTTAGATTCTATTTTCTTGTTCTTTTTTTTTTTTTTTGTATTCTAGATACAAGATGTATCACTCGAATCTTGATACAATTTAGCTAATCAATGAATTTTTATAAGAGCATAAAAAGTAGAATGTTAAGTTCGTTGTAAAAAATATATATGAACCAAAATGACTTTGAGATTCCAGAAAAATGACAAGTAAAGCTATTATGGTTATTATTATTCTTATCATTATTGCTAATATAAGTAGATTGCAAGTCATGACAAACTAGAAAGAAAAAAATATATATATGTAGGTCTTTTCCTGTTGGAACAGTGCATTGAGTATTTTGCGCAAAATAGTAAATAATTGAATTTATCCGCCTTTGCATCTACGCCAAAGGATGACATTTTATGAACGAGGCTCAAATTTAGTAGCATTAAGATGTTATTTATCTTTTGTGAAATTTATAGATTAAAGAAAAATCGAATTTCCAAGAAAAAAAAATTACTTAATACATAAGTTAATTATTTCTATCGTCTCAAAGGATTAGAATCGGACGGAAAAAATTTAGCTTTTGTTGTAGAATGCATTCATTTGAAATTGCTATAAGGAACACAATAAAACAGTCATAGAGTGCAAATTCTTATTTGTTTTCTTTTTCATTCTTATTGAGCCTCTTGAAGTAACACAATATATGGTTAAATATGTAAACAGAACTACTTGTTTTTATTGAAAAAGTGTGTTGCTTTGACAACTGAAATAAAAACTACTGGTTTATTTCTTCAATTATCAATTTCGTTCATATTTTTCTTTTAATACATGACTTTGCTGGTTGTACTCAACGACGCATGGCAACGTTGTTTTTTTTTTCGTATGAAATTTAGATACTTAAACCTAAAAAAAACACAATGCATGTTTTCTTTCTTGTAGATTTCATTTTGCGTTTTTTATTTTCTTTTTTTACGAGCAAATAAAAATCCTGATGTAAGAAGTTGAAGAAAAAAGAGAATTTTAACAAAACTAAAAAAATAACACAACAAAAGAATATAATTTTTCTTAAATTAATACAATTGAAACCATATAACAAATATACAATGTATTGTTTAGAAATAATTACAATAATTTAGAATACTGATAAAAAGAGAAAATGGCCTACATATTTTTATTTTTTCCTTCTCTTTCGCACTCTCTGAACCTAAAGCTCTATGGAAAAAGAAACAAGAGATTCCCTACTCTTTTCTTCTAATAAAACGAGATATATTTATAGATCTATATATATATATATAGTTATAGAAAAATTGACGAATCAGAGATTTTTTTATATATTCTTTCTCTTATTTTCTTTCATATAAACTCCTTCTTTTTGATTGTATAGAACTAGAAATATAGATTTTTCTATAAAAAGCACTTAAACATTTTTAAATATAGATGAGGACAAGAAAGAAGTTATTAAAGAGAAAACCAAAAAAATGCTAGTTGTCATAGAGACTAGAGGTAATGTAATGAAAAAAAAGAGAAGAATAAAACATCTATATATATATATTCTTGACTAACAATTGTAGAAGAGAGCTTCGGACAAAAGTTCACAATTTGCACTTGTTGTAACTCCTATTTTTCTTCGTTTTTCGAGTCTCAATAAAATTTTCTTTTTTTGTAGACTATCTAATAATCATTACGAATTTGACAAAAAACCAAAACGAAAATCGATTATAATAAATACTTGAAATTTCTAGCGGATCTACTTAATGATTTATAGAGTTATACTAAAGGACCCTTTAATACGTCTATTTACATATTAACATTATCATGCAACGGTAAGCAAGAATAAATATTTTAACAACCTTATATGAAATCAAAGAAAACCAAAAGTGCTTATTGAAATTCGGCTATCTTGAAATAGTTTTACATACAAAAATAAATTCTCATACAATTTTCATTTTTATTTAAATAAGATTAATCTTAGATAATTTTTTTGTATCGCAAATTTTTGTCATGTTTTTTGAAGTCCAAAACAGTCAACTATTAAGAAAATATGTATTTTTGTTATTTTAAAATCGGATGCACAAAAAAAGAAACCAAAAAAATTCCCTTCGTTCTTGAGAAGTACAATATTAAATTAATTTTATATTCATTTTGATTAAAATTGAAAAAGAAATAAACGAAATTGTTTTTTTCTTCTTTAGAATAAATCAAGTTTCAAATGAAGCAATGAAACGTATGCAAATGCCTATCTTACCAACATCATCATCATCAGTATCATCCTCATCTGCTCATCCAACAAGTCATTCAATGATGCCAGATCTTCTTTGGATAAGCAAGCAACAACAACAACATCCATCAACACATGCACATCCATTACGAAATACTATACGTGTTAGTTCTAATGGTATACGTCATAAATTTGATGGTAAACAATGGCGACCATTATGTGACTCACCTGATGGATATGAATGTCGAAATTTAGTGTTTCGTTCATCCTTATGTCAAAAACACTTTTATAAATTACATCATTTTAAACGACCTTATGCAAAAACTGGATCACTATCAACACCATTATCTGGCATGTTATCATTACCATTAAAAAGACCATCACCAAATTCATATGAACAGCCTCATCGCTCTAGAAACGAACATCATGATATGGAAAGCGAACATGAAAATACTTACAAAGATGATGATTCAATTCAAGTTCTTGAAAATACTGATGTAAGATAAGAAATATTTTTACGAAATCAAAACGAAACTTAATGTCAATATTTTTATTACTTCAGCCTTCAATTAGCAAACGAGATAATATTGAATCAAAAAATGCATCTCAATCAGAATTTACTTTTTTTTCAATTGATTGTGATCCACACGCTGACATAGATACACATGATATGAATCATATTAAATCTGAGCCAGTAAGAATTATTTTTTTAATTAATAAAAACAAAACGAAAAAAAAAACAAAAATCTTCTTTTATTATTTTAGTTACCAAAAACTAAACGATTAGATTCAACAAATAATAATTCTATTCTATCGAATGAATTAGATAATTCATCTTTAAATATACCCATACCAAAAGTAATGGAATCAATTCGTCTTGGTATACCACCATTAACACGTACAGAAGAAAAATCATTAGCTAATGAGCTTATAACACAATTACCAGCTGATGCATCATTAACAATAGCCGAACAAATGGCACGACGTCGAGCTTGTGAAATCGTTATGGATAATTATTCTCATCAATTCTCACCAATTAATATGGCATCAGAATGGTTTTATGATTTTCTTTTAAGAAATCCACGTGTACCAATACATTTTCAATCATGGTTTTCATCAATTAAAGTAACATTACCATCATCAGATCAATTAATTGATATTAAAATATGGGAACTTGGACTTGTTACAAGATCTATTATACCATCATCGTCAGTTTCAACCGGTTCATGTTCGCCTTGAACAAATTTTTCGTTTTTTCTTTTTTGTTTATATTTTATCGTGATTGTATTTTTCTTTTTTTTTTTTTTTTTTTTGTAAAACAAATAAAAACAAAAAAAAAATGTATGCATGTTAAATGTAGATATGTGTCTGTCAAGATAATAAAATGATTTCTTGTATCATTTAATCCAACAGTTTTGAATAGTTTACTATAATTGCTCATTTCTGTATAATGATTATTTATAATATGAACATTCGGTAAATTAAAACTAATTATAACAATCATAAGTAGTCTAAAAACTGTTCAGAGAGAGAGAGAGTTAACAGTAGTTTTTTTTCTATCGGTCGATTTGTACAATAATAACAATGAATTAATTTTCTCTTCTTCACAAAAGAACTAAACTTTGATTTCCATATGGAATAGAGTATAAATTTAGAACTATCAAATGCTAAAGAAAGAATATATTTGCACTTAGACAAAGGAGAACTTTCAATATTTGTACTCTTATTATATTAAAGGAAAAATATATGAAGAAAGAAGTAATAGATGTCCGAATATATCTTTTTTTGATTATTTCTATATGAAAATCATCATTCTAATAGCATGAATATAATATTTGAATGTAAATCAGTCGTAAAATATATAAGTTAAAATTGTATTAATTGCAATGAGTGATAAAACAAAATAGAAGTTTATATATTCCATTTGAATAAATTAACTTTCACCATATATCTAATTTCTCTATATTATTATTGTTGTCATTTGATTATATATATATATATATATATTAGAAAAAGAAAAGTCGAAGAATATATAATGTTTATCAAGATTCTTCGAACATAGACTGTCATCGTCAGAGTTAAGAAAAACAAAACAACCCTAATATAATTATTCTTTAGTTTCAAGGCTAGCTCCAATGTAAATATTCCTATTAACGTTGTTGATATATATATATATATATAATCTCGATAGATAACTTCGAAATATAGTTTGTATATGTTTCTGACAGTAATAGGGAAACAGAAAATCATATATAAAAAAGAAAAAGCCTTTACATTAGGGCTGCCACCTTCTTAAATCAGAAAAGGGTACAGCTGTTTCTTTTTATTTGTGGACTTGCCATATTTCTATAGGTCTAAATAACTTGCTGCTTCTTTTCATAGTACTTTTTCTATTCTCATAGTTTCAAAACATAATAAGTAATATATAAAAGACAATGAATATTTTATTAAATACATCATTTCTATTTTGAACATAAATACATTTATTATTTGAAATTTTCTGCAGCTATGTAATCTGCTGACATTTAATTATAAAAATCATCGGATAAATGCCTCATTTCTATCAAAAGCATAGTTTTGACATTTACATTGCTTACTGAAATAGAACACAGAAAGGAATTATATAGAAGTAATTATAGACTGTAACCGACAGCTACTATAACTTATTTAATATTAACAAATTTTATTGCGTCGAATTTTTTGAAGTAAAAATAAACCAAAGTTTTTCATATGAAAAAAAGTGAAAGAGATGGAAATTCTGTTCGACATACAAATGGATTGTAATTAGACAATCATTTAATATAAATAATTATTTGTTGAAAAGTTTTTTTCATCTTCAAATTAGATCAATGTAAAGGAAAGTTTACATCGATAAATTCTTTTCGTCTCTTTTGGATTTCAACTAATTCGAAAAAAGTCTTTCGTGTACTATTGTTTATGAAATGATATTAATGTTGTCTTACTTTTATTACTAAACTAATATGATTCAGTGCCATTTCTCTTTCATTATATTATGTAAAATTCTTTCACTAAATATCACATTGAATGATTATCATAAGTCGTCACTAATTAATTATGAAAATAAATTTGTTTTTTTTTTCACAACTATAAAATCATAATTTTAAAATATAAGAATTGTTCTTATTTTTGAATTTGTATTCATTCTTTATTGACACCTATTCTATTTTTTACATCATGTATTATTCATTAGTAACTCATAATTTATGTTATTATAGAATAATTATCTATGAAAATACTTTTTCTGTTCCTTATTAAAAATATTTTATTGACATTATGTCATTGTTGTAATTAATTTCACTTGAGAATTATATTTTCTAAATGAATTTAATAGTACTTTTGTACTTCCGCTATTACAGTTCTTATCAATTGAATTTATAGTGTAATAATGTACCGAAAATAATATGCAGTTCTTATATGTAATATTCTTTATTTAATAAAAACGTATCTTATTCTTCTTTATCGAATAATAAGTGACGCTGTGAATATTATTATATTTTAGATATTCTCTATACGTTGTCCTATGTGAAAAGCTGTATTCACATGTTTGTTGATTTTACTAGAACTTTTAATAATGCAAGAGTTACAATGTAGTGTGTTCTTTGTGTTATCGAATATATGATATCTTATTGTGTATTAAAAGAGAGAAAAAGCTTAAAAAGTATTGCTGAGAAAATAATATCAGTATATAATTTTAAAATGTTTAATAAACTTATGCTTATGCAAACATATAGATGTCGGAGAATTTTATTATTCAAAAATTGTCAAATATTTGATCTCGTATCGAATGATAAAATCAGAAAATTCTAAAACATAAGATAAGCGTTCGGAAAAGTATTTATTTGATGAATTGTTTTCTTCCAAACGATTTCTATAGCTGTCGAGACAAGTTATCAAGTCGACATATGAATATTTTTAGCTAGAATATTTTAGTCTATGGAAAAAAAAAGTTTGCAGTACTGTCAATATTCCACTACTTGTCATTATTAATTAATCATTTGAAAATTCTGTCATATATTATTTAATGTAGAATTGCATGGCCTACATTTAAGTGAATATGACTAATTTAATAATGTAGCATTACTTATTTAAAAGAGAAAGATTATGTTTACATATTGAGTATGTAACTACGTCATTTGAGAAAATATGAAAAGCAAAATAAAATTATCTAAAATTTTTGTCAAAATAATTCATGTCAGTATGATGATAAAGAATAAATTAATGTTTACTATTATACTATATTGATAATTACATTTAATTCTAAAATATAATGCAACTGTAAACTTTAAAATCTAATATATATATATATATCGTAGATGAGATCTTATGTACTTTCGAATGAGACTTAGCTAGAAAATATCATTGAAATGATACAAAGAAAAAAGCCAAAGTGTTCGATCAACTCTATAATACATTTAGTAGAAGAAAAATAATTTTCATTCAAAAGTATAAGATTTCATTTAGAAAATATATTAGATTTCAAAGTTTACACTTGCATTATATATGAGAATTATATTTCATTATTAATATAGTGTAATAGGAAACATTACTTTACTCTTTATCCTCCTACTGATATGAATCGTGTTGATAGAAGTCCTCTATGATTTTGTTATGCTTTTTTTGTTCTCTCGAATGACCTACTTACAAAACTCAAAGTATAAACAGAATTTTTTCTTTTTAATAATTAATGATACATTGTTAAATTAGTAACATTCACTGAAATGTAGGCCATTCAAATTCTATATCGAATAAGAGATGACAGAATTTCAAAATAATTAGTTAAAAGCAAAAACTAATAAAATATTAACAATGCTCTAATGTTTTATTTGATGAAGTAAAATGTCTTCGATGAAAATATTCATCTGTCAATTTGATGACTTGTTCCGAAAGCTATAGAAATCACTTTAGAGAAAATAAATCATCAAATAAATGTTGATCGAAACGTTTGCTTTTTATTTTATACATGTATAAGTATATGGAAAGGTTAATCGAAAATATTAGTGAAGAATCTAATCAAAATTTACTAAACTTTCCTCACTCAAAACACTTTCCAAAATGAAAAATCTATTACAATTCTATAATTAGTTTGATATTAATCTGTTGAATCCATTTCTTTTTTGAAGACGAAATAATAAAAACTGTTCAAAGTGAAAGAATTCTTACAAAAAAAAACGGAATATAACGTTTCATTAATGCATATCCTTTAATGGAAGTATTTTCATAAGATTCTATCAAATTTAAATAGATTTAGTATCATCTAATTTAATTTCAATTGAATAATGTAAATAATTTTTATATTTAATCAATTAAAATATATTTGATATGAGAATCGGAGAAATTAAAACCAGTCATAGTCAATGTGACGCACTCGTGTGTATTCTATTGTTCATGTACACTGTTGTATATCTAATAGAACAAGACATTCTCTTTGAATTCGAAGAATTGTGACGTATATGAACACAATAGTGACACTAGAGTTATTGAGTTATTTCTATTGTCTTCATTCTTAAAATATATGCAAGAGATAATGATATTCAAATTTGGTAGTCAATTATAAACAATTAGATAAAATCAAGCTAGAATAAATTGATTTCTGGTGATGCCTATCGCTAAAAATCAGTTTTTATCTGTTTACTATGAATCAATAAGAATGATTGGAAATGCTTAGAAATGCAGAAAAATCACGAGAAATCAGGAGTAGCCACTAGGAATATTGGCTATTGTGGACAATACTAAATCAATTCAAAATTTGATTGAATTTTATGGAAATATTTTCTTTTTTTAAGAAGTATGTATTAATAGAAGGTTTATAATGCGTTTCTTTCGTATGAGAGTATTATCACTTGTTCTGATATTTTATATATTCGTCATTGAAAGACAGAAGAAACTTCAATAAATCAATATCAAACTAATAATTTTAAAAGGTTTTCATTTGATAAAGTTTTTAGAATGAAGAAAATATGATACTTTGTTTAAGTACTTTGCATATAAACAGTACAGTTTAATATATTAGGCTTGTTTTAGATATTGGATGATGTGACTAAAGTATGGAAGTATATTCTAGAAAAGAAAATCGACGATTATCAGTGAATCATTCCTAGAAATAATAAATCATTAATCTTATGTGAATTTGACCAAATGTTATATTTTTAAAAATCAGCATGATACTCTCAAATAAATTATCATTCATTTTAACTCAAGTACGAAGAAAAACAACATGCTCGTCTTTCTTTTTATCGTTGCTGCAATTTATACATCATTTCCACATACTAATGCTGCTTCAGGTATATTTGATATAACTTCGTATTTGAATAAACAATGATCTCTTGTAACTCTTCTTTTTTTTTTACAATAGATTGTAGTGTATGCGAATTGAATGAATATTATAATGCGACAAATGGTTATTCGTGTTTTCATATAAGTAATGGACAAGTCGCTTGTACTTGTCCCGATCAACGCTATACACTTGATCAACCTTGCCGTATGATTTTTATTTATTTTTCTAAATAAATTTCTTAAAAGATATATGTTTAGGTATTTGCGAACGTAAGAATATATGTGGTGATGATCCAAATAATTTATGTGCAGAGTTATCACCAACCTCGTTTACTGATAACAATGATAGTACTGCACACTTCGCTTGTTTTTGCACTGACACTAGCTTCTATATTGGTGAACCTTGTCCATCAAGTAAAACCTTCACAATTAATTATATCATTCGAGTCTTTTTTAAATGTTTTTCAGTTCCTACAACACCGATAACTACCACAACATTATCAGTCCCCATATCATCGACAATTGTTACAACAATAGGACCCCTTACAAGACCGACAACTACTAGAACATCGACAGTTGTTACAACACAGACAAGTACCATAACAACGGGAACTACTAGAACATCGACAGTTGAAACAACACAGACAAGTACCAGAACAATGGGAACTACTGCATAAGGAAGCACGATATCTATTAAACAGAAGGAAAGTTAACTCTTTAACATGATACTTTAATATTGACAATAAAAAAAAACGAACCTTCACTTGAAATTCTATTCTTTCTCTTTTTTTCATCTTGTTTTTTTTTTGACGGAAAAATGATTAAATCACTTAAAGAAATGTGAATGTTATGTTTGTCAGCCTTTAAATACTTTTCAATGATTGCTTCGAACGTTCGGCTGCTTATTTAAAAAAATACATACTAAACGTGTATGCATATGTGTATATGAATACTTAACTGACGTAGAAGAGAACGATTGCAAATAAAAAAAAACAGAGATATGGCAACACCACGAAGAAGTAATAATACAAGTTTATCCTCAAGTATAGATGAACGTCGTCAAGTACAAGCTCGAATACGTGCGCTTCAGCAGCGAACAAGTGAGTGTTCCAAATAATGATTACAAGAGAATTATTAAGAAATAAGATATTAATTTAAAAAGAAAAACATCGTTTTCAATCGAAAGAATTTTTTATTGGAAGATTTAAACCCTTTCAGAAATATATAAAATTCTAAAAGGTTTATATTGGATTTGTTCTACTTTCATATTTCAACGACTAGAAAAACTCGTCAATTCTTATTTAAGGAGATCCCTTGAATGTACACCGTTATAGACTCACATCTCCTTCGATGTTTCCTTCAGAGACATACCGGGTTGCAACGATCAAAAGTGGTTAGCAGTTCTTCCCGAAAACTATACTTCATTTTTTCATGACAACTACCATCAAATCGGGATATGTGTTTTTTTTTCTTTCAAAAATGTCGTTCTAATAGCTCGCGAGAAGAAAAATACTAGAAGCACCGTAAAAAAACATGTTTTTTTTTTAAAAAGCTGTCAAGTTTCTTAGGAATAACATTTTAAAGAATAAAATTAGTATACATTCCAATTTGAGTCCAATCAAACATACCATGTGGGAGAAAAGTTTCGTTTTGTTTTGTTCAAAAACTGATGTTGAGAAAAATACAAAAAAAAAAAACTTTTTTGTACGTATCAGGGCTTTTTTCTCCAACTAAAGTGTTCGAAAACTGGTGATGTTATAAATCCATGACTACCCATACTTTCAGCGCCTTTGAAATGACAAATAATTATTATCATTCGGAAAATTTTTCATAAAGAGGTTGATCGTCGTATGAGTTTTTCTGCTAGGGATTTCGAGATTTACGTTTAATAAAAGTACTAGTTAACAACGGAGAGTCGTCATGAGTAAGGTATTTGACAGAGAATACTTCAAAGCTATACCAAAAATTGAAAAAATTTTGATTTTAACATCTGGAAAAGGGACAATGTCCTTAGTAAAACAAAATAGCCTTTAATAAAAGAACGATTTGAAATTTTAATTTTTTTTTCGAGTTAATAAACTTTTACGTGATGATACCATATAAGTTATATTAAGAACAATTTTTTTTGCTTTAAATGATTATAACAGGTAGAAATAGCTATGAAACTTTCAAACGTAAAATTACGACTTATGAATATAAATTAAATATTGTTTTATCATTTTTCTTAACATTAGATGCTTTGAATGAAGAATTATCTCGTTCATCATCAGTTGCTAAAACAGCTGTTCATGATGTTGAACGAGCTTATATGAGAATAACAAATGAATACCGAGAACAACGTGATCAACTTTTACAAAATCTTTATCATGTCAATAAAAATATCAAAGAGTAAATTTTTATTTTCTTAAAAAGAAAAACACATGATTTGATTTCAAAATCATTCTATAGATCAACAAATGAGCTTGATGGTATACGTAAAAGTTTAAGTACAGCTCAATCATTTCATTTACCATTAATGTAAATATTAATTATTTCAATTTCTCTTTTATTATTATTATTGTTTTGTATTTTACATTAAATTAAATAGTTCACCAAGATATTCAACTGATTATGAAACACATGAAATGAATGCTATGGTTGATGATATTGAACGTGTACTCAATAAAATATCACAACAACTTAAACAAGTAATTATATATATATATACAATGTATTCCAAAAGTCTATCAGGATAAAGATAAATGTGAATAACGCTTGAAAAGTTCAATCAGTTTATATAAGTCTTCTATAATTTTGTTTAATGTTTCATTAAGTTTTATTCAACATAATTCAAATCAAATAATATATCTCATTGAGAATTTTTGTTTTCGAACTAAACTTAAATTATTTTGTAGTGAAAGTCAATGAAAGTTTCTGTTTGAATTAATGTCCTTGTTTCTGATTTCTTAAACTTATACTAAAAAGCACATTCAGTTCTCGCTCAATTTGTGACAAGTTTTTAGCTTGTACGAGAATACATTTTTATTTTTGAAGATATAGATAATTATGAAAGTCAAGAGGACGTTTTCTGTGATTATACACAACTCGTATGATAGTGATCAGTTGAACCATAAATATTTATTCAATTCTCTATTCAAATACATTTGCAGAAGGTGTATTCACTCAAATGAATCATGCATGAACATCAATCATTAGACTTCTCTCCACAGACTTTGATGGACGTAGATATACAGTCACAGAGTGTATATTAAGAACGTCTCATTCGAATATATGAACTACTTCCTTATTGTATTTCTGAGAAATTAAATAAAAACATGGTGAAGAAATGTATTCCAAAAATAGATAAAATAATGTAATCTCCTTTGATTAGCAATAGCAACTACATTACATTTGACATTTTAATCCCGCAGGGATTGCATTAACAGTTTTTTTTTCTTAAAGTCATACTCTGAATTCTATACTGTTGATATTTAAAATAATTATGTGTCATATTTTAGACATTTCGTTCTCCATTCAAGTCGTTTGGAGTTAACAATTTTACAGTCACCTATGATTGTAAAACAAATCATGTCAGTAAAATCTGATGCACAAATACAACAAATGAAAATACTATTAAAGAAGTCTCTCAAGACATTCATGAAACTGATATTTGTGTTAGACATGTCACATTCTGAACGTCCGACAGTTATGACAGAAAAAAAAAAGGTGATACAGTTCATGTCACTAGTGAAAAAATGTTCTAGTTGTTTGAAATGGATTTTTTTAGAATTATAATAGAAATCAGTAACTCGTTTAACAAAATGAAAGGGGTCTTTGTATTTCTATTTTGAAATACATTCAATTTCTAGGTAGTATCTTTCGAATTCTTTATATGATAACATATGAAAGACAATGTCTACAAGATGTTATATTAAAGACTAGATCGAATTAAAAGAGAAAACAATAAAGAAAAATGCAATATTTCCAAATGAAAATTCTATCTAATGTCTCATGGTTTAAAAATTTCAAAACAGTGAACTTGTGAGTTTCATTTCAGTATAGGCACTTTGAATAGCGAACCCAAAAATACACCTATAAAAAACAAAATTTTTAATAAACTTAGATTAAGTGATAGAAAGTTCACGTCTATGACTTGATTTATTCAAAAGTTATTTACATTCTTTTTCCTAACGGACTTTTGGATCATTTTGTACATATTACTTTCCTTATTAATGAATGAAATAGTTTCATTTTATACCTTCACATGGTCATGCAATGGGTAAAATACTTGGTACAATACGTGTTAAAAATACTAATTCTAAAGAAACAGGATTAACATCACCAGAATCTTATATGGATCAATATTATTCAACAGATATACTATGTGTTTATAAACTTTATACAGTTGATTTAGATATATCTGCAAAATGGGTTATATCAACAATAGAACAACGAATATTTTTATGTGATATTGAAGGTGAAGTACGTATATTTTCATATTCACGTCATTTTCGTCGACAACCTTTATTAAGAGAACGTTTTCATTTGTCTAATATACGTTTAATATCATCATTTACAGCAACACAAGATTATTTAATTGCATTTGAAATTGATACACAAATTTTAACATTACATACACATCATGGAGCATTAATATTACGTTTATTTTTTCCATACGATCCACTTATGATAGTTCGTTGTGATTATCATAAAAAAAATCAAATATGGACATGTAGTCGTACAAAACGACAATGTTATCAATTTAACATAAATCATAAAATAAAACAAGTTAATCTTTTAGATCAATTAGATTTTACAAAACCAATATCAAATATTTTAATTGATCCTATTGGAATATCATGTGATGAACAAGAACGTGTTGCTGTACATGATGTTAATATGACAACAACTGATCGTTTATTACTTTTTTCGAATAATCAAAATACGATAATACCACTTGATTTTGTAAAATATTTTGATAAACTATTATCATCACGTATTGAACGTGTCTTACTTGTACCAAAACAATCAAATTTAATTGTTATTATTTATGTTCCACAATCATCAACAACAAATGTACATGAAATAGTTATTGTTGATATTAGTTTACAACCAGCACAAATAGTTCATTGTTTATCTGAACCAAATGGTATACAAAGTATAGATGTAACATCAAATGGTGAATTAGTTTATACAGTTACAACACCAACAAATAAACGAACACCACCAAAAATGCATATTTATAGTTTAATTTATTAATTCAGAAATTTATTATTGAATAGTTTATAGAAATTTTCGATTTATTTTGTAGAATAAATAAACTTTTTGCTAATGTAAACGTATCTTTGCTTTTCTCTTGTTCATTGATTAATTCTACAAGGATTTGTAAGAGAACATTATATCAATGATTTCCTTTATCTTTTCTATTAAATCTTTTATTTAATATCAGTTATACATGTAACAAACTCGATTGAAGAATTAATTTATATCAGAAGATCATAAGAAATAATATACATGAAAATACAGAAAAAAAGAGATGATTTTTAACAAATACATAAACAATAATCAAACGACCTTTTTTTTTTTTTTTTTTATAATTAACTTATTTAGATCAATTATACATTTATAGTCTTTGACATAAAGTTTTAAAATTATCTTAGGAATTGAACGAATCAAATATTTCTTTTGTTTTCTTTAGAATATGTTTACATAATAATTTGTTCGTTAAATTTATGTACACTAACAGAAATGAAATTCAATCCTTATATTTACTGATATGTAAAAAAAACCAAACGGCAATCATTAACAAGAATCACATGATTCCATTTCTTTTGCAATTTATTTCGTTCTTCCATTAGATAAAATATAAAACAGTTTTTTTTCTTACAAAGTTTACGTCGTGTTGATCTATAGCGATATAAAAGTATTGTCGCAAGTTTACCACATTTATATTACTCAATCTTCTCGTCAACAAACAATATTTTTCATGTTATAAACATGTATTGATGGCTTAAATGGATACTTCTATTATGTTTAGCTATATGGATTGAATACCATCGTTATAGGATTTCAAAAGTAAGACTAATTGAAATTAATTATGATATTTGAATTTTGATTAATTATAAAAAATCTATTTAGTTACTCCGAACTCGTACAAAAGATTCATCTAACATAACATCTTCATATGAAAATATTAGATGTTTTTCTCTTAAATTGACATCCACACTCACAACGGATGTGATAACCAATGGAGATAGTTAACAACTCATATGGTAATCAACTGATTTGATAATAAACTAATTAATTTTAACACTATGTTATGTATAGAATGGATTATTTTTGATCCAGATGCTTTTCGACTCTGAATTCAATTAGCAATAATCGTCGTCGGTGACAATCGACTAAATCTCCATTCTTAATGGATGACTTCTTACTAATGAATATGAATTTTATAATCGAGATGAACAAAATAAAAATGCTTATTTAGAATTTAAACATACTGTATATAGTCAAGGAATTTGTGGTAATCTCCAAATTCTACCTACGAAACGATCATGCACACCATTTTTACATATACATCCTTATCAAACAGAAATATTTACTATTCTTCAAGGTCATTTCTCTTATCAATATGGTGATGAAATATATTCGTGTGATATTCATACATGTCCATCACCTATTATTATTCATCCAAATATTCCTCATACATTTTGGATGAATGATAATAAAGAAGATCTTATTTTAATTGTTCGTATTGAACCAACATATAAAGACCGTGGTCTATCAGCTAAATCATTTGAAAATATAGTTGGTGTTGTTCGTGATAAATATATGACTATATGGCAAGCATTCGTATTTGTCGATAATATTGAAACATATCCTATATTTTTACCATTACCGTTTGTAAAAATAATAATTAAAATTGATTCTTTAATTGAACAATTACTTGGTTATCAAACAGAATATGAAGAATATACAACAAAATAATTTTATTATTTAATTAAGTGTATTTTTATTTGAAGCTCCATGTTTACAAACTTTTTTTCCTCGTATCATAACTTCATGTAAAGCATAAAATTCAACTAAAGAATAACCAATAAGTACAAAAGGTGTCATTAAAAAATGAAAAATATTTCGTAAAAAAAATATACATTGTTTTATATTCATTAGACGAGAAATAAATATATCAATAATGAACGCAACTGAAAATGATAACATTTGAATTGAAAGTAATATATATGTTATATAGACAATATAGTTTGGAATTTCATTAAGAAGAAATTGTATAGCAACAAAATATGTTAGACCATAAAGACCACTTGAACAAAGTAATACACCATAATAGATAAGAAATGTTATTGACCATGATAATGAAGTTAAAAATGGAATACGTCGAGATTTAATCATAAAATAATGAAAAACTTCAGCTGCTCCTATAGTCCATCGTCTTGCTTGTCTTGTCCATTCCATAAATTCATACTCAATTGTTCGACCACATGTTGGTCCACTTATAACAGGTGTTAAAACCATCTTTATAGAAAGACGACGACCTGTTACACCCATCCATCGAATAAGACATATTATATCATCCATTTGATAAGCTGGATGAACAAAATTACCAGCTTTAGCTAATGATAATGAAAATGAAAATATACTCATTGTATTTATTGAAAATGGTATTAATGCACCTAACATTAATGTACTTCGAAGTAGACCTGTAATACGAGTAAAAAATGATGATGCATCTAAATTCCAATTATAAAAAAGTGGTGGTTGATATATTGTTGTTAATGCTGGATAATTATCTTTGATATATTGATAAGTTAATGCAGCAATATAATGAGGATGAAATTGTGAATCAGCATCACATGTTGTTATTAATGTATGATTATGATTATCATTTTCATTTTCATTTTCATCTAATTTTAATTGTTTAATTGCTGTACGTAAAGCATAATTTGCATTTGAACATTTACCTGGAATTTCATTTGCTAATCCATATGGATGAATAGTAAAAATAAGATCTCGAAATCCAGCTTGAGCATAATAATTTTGTAATGTTTGACATTTAGTATGTACATCTGGTGTACGTTCTTCAAAAGAAATAATCATTGAAATACGATTAACTTCAGATTGTGCTGCAAGAGTATCTATACTTCGTTTGATTAATTCTAGTGGTTCTTTATAACAACTAATTACAACCAGATGTCGAATCTTGTTTCTATCTTGAGTTGACAACAAGAAAGAATAATCTCGATTCCTATTGCTACATAATAAAATGAAAAATGATAGAAACCTACTAGAAAAAAAAATATTATCAACTAACTGAAAAATAATGAATGCATTTCGTGCTGCAAGTAAGGTAATAATAAACCAAATCAATACAAAAATACATTGAATAGAAGTTAAGAGAAAAATGGCAATTTTATTTGAAATAAATGGTAGCCAAATAGGTAATGGACAGATAAGCCAAACAAGTACATTGAACATTAAATTCCAACGAAATCGTTGTCGTCCATTTGTTATATTACGATCAATAATAGGTACTGTTAATTCTGGTATCGGTATTAACACATGAGCAATTGGTGACGATGATGATGATGATGGTAGTATTGATTTTTGTTCTTGTTCTTGTTCTTGTTCCAATGTATAGTAATCATTATAAGAAACTGTTCTTCGATATTGGAGTTTCCTATCATTGATATTCGATTGAAATCCTGGGTTTTGATAACTGTAAGTAGCTTTGAGAGTATGATGTTTAGGAGACATTATATTATTACTTATTTTTTTTTTATGAAGTTGTCATCTTATTTATATATTCGTGTAGGTAGTCTTTAATATGACTACTTGTACTTTTTTCAAACTTTATCATGACACGTGGAAAAGTACATGCCTATGAATCACCTATACTTTATTAAAAATGAAGCCAAAAAAATATACCTGTACAGTAATTAATGTCTTTACAAAATATGTTATATAACATGATATACACTCATATATAGATTCATGACTTTTTAATAGGTTCCTTTCGTCAAAAGTACATCGAAAAAGAAAAGTTTTCTTTTCCTACAATAGAATTCTCAACGTAATAAACTAAATATAAATATTTGTCTTTATCGACTAGAATTGATGGTAATCAAACACATATTAGATTCAAGCATTTTAAAATGAACAACAATATTTGTTCCGATATATTTGTTTGCATTGATATCTTTTGTGAGCACATAAGTCTGGTGACAACTCAAACGGAAGTTCCACTCGCTTGTCAATTGTGTTTTTCCGGCTTCATGTGTATACGTCTATGGATGCTAGTGCAACATGATTAGCACCCGTTTGTCATTCCTGTGTTGGTTGCTCTTTTGCATCTTTTCTCATTTTTTTTCTTTTGTCGGCTCAAAGAATCGAATGCACACTATGCATGAAGACTGATACATAGAGTGAAGAAGGAAACGCACATGCTCACGCATCTAATTGCCAGGAGATCTCTTTTCATCAAGCAACATATATACAACACTCGACGTCATCTAACTTGACAAAGAACAGAACAAGAACAAGAACGATCATTTTCGCTTCTCATCGTTTTTCTGTGATCCGAGATGGATGAAAAAGAAAGAAAGAAAGAAGACAGACGATGGCAACAACGACATCAATGATGATTTGTTTGTGTGTATGTGCGAATTTTAGTTTGCTTTTCTGGCATCGACAACATAACGACTGACACCTTCTGACTTGTCTGTTCTTCGTATATTATTCTCTATAGTAAAAGCAAATGAAATAAAGAATCACTTTCCTTTTCTAACATTAGTAATGTTTGTATCCAAGATATACAACAAGACACATGGTTTGACTATTTGCCGTTTTTTTTTATCTATATTGTTATTGTCACTATTGAATGTTTCTTTTTTCATAATTTTAATTATCGTATCGTAGATTTTATCTTGACATATGGCTACTTTTTTGAATATTCAACTTAAAAGATTTGATTGAAGCATTTTAAAAAAGGAAAAGAAAAATGTATAGTTAAGTACAATTTCTCTTAATAGTTTATGTTTCTCTGGTTAAAAAGGAAACAAATATCATAACATCTAAATATTGAGAATCAATATGTACATGATCTCATTATTTTTTTTCTAGCAATACTATGACTACATTGTTTGACACCTTGATTACTTGTGACAGAATGCAAAAGAAAAAAAAAAGTTCCAAATGAAATAAGTAAACGAGACCTTGAAGCATTTGTGCTCATGTATATAAGTAATGTTTCCACCACAAGGTAGATCAAATACACAAAAGAAGGAGGAGAAAGACAGAGAGACAGAGAGAGAGATATAAAGAGAGAGCAAGAAAGAAAAATTGAAGAACATAAATAGTATTATTCACCTAGCGTCTTTTTCTACTGTTGTTTTTCATCGATCATGTTAGTTCACTATGTTTGTATAGTCATTGCTTGAAACATTTTACTAACATCATATTTATTTTATAGTCATCATCAATAATATAAATCGAGTTTGACTTTCCTCATTTCCTTTCTCTCACTCGAACTAATGAAATGAAAGTATCTTTCTTTCTTTCTTTCTGTCTTTCTTTCTCTTTTCCCTTCCTCTCTTTTTTTTTATTCTTTCTCGATTGTTTTGTTTTCAGATTTTTTAGCATATGACTATTGCAAACATACCCATTACTCGATGCGTGTACTGAAAGACGATGAAAGTGAGTGGCAGCAGCGGCAATTTAGACTAACATTAGTAGATATAGCAATGAAGAGCACCGCCGCCGACAATGCCCCCTCTCAATCATGTAATCAATTCGCCAACTCTATCATCAAAAAATATTGTAACAACTTCATCTGTTTATCGTCAGTTAACCAGCGATAAACAAAAACAACAAAAGACACGACGAATACGCCCAACGACCACTACTATTACTGCCACTACGACTGCTACACTTTTCTCATTGCACACTGCAAATATAACTTCTTCTTTTTTTTCTTCCATTTCATCAACCCAGCAACAACAAATTTCATTCGAGGATCCCTATTCGGCTAAAACAGGAATCAAAACAGCAGCTCTTCTTGGCGGTATGTAATTTATATTATAGCAAGGAAATAAGAGAGAAAGGAAAAAAATGACACCCATTTCATCATTACTAGTTTCTACTAGACTATTCCATGGATTCATCGATGCATACATGATTTTCATGCAAAATAATATGAAACCTAACAGTTTACTATTCGATGAGAAAAGAAAATCATGTCATTTATATAGAGAACCAAAATCCTTAGGATTAATAATGGAGTAAAAATAATATGAAGAACAAGTTCTGATAAGTGATTTCCGGGAAATAAATAAAGATATTTTCTAGACCAATCAACAATGATGGGTTTTTATTAAAAACTAAGTTTCCTTGTTTTCTTTTAAATGAAAAACGAATTTCTTTCTTTTTCTTTTTCTTTTTCTTTTTGGAAAACTTATTTATAAATCAAAGTTAATTTATCTTATCTATATAAATTTTATTCTACACTAATGATATTTATTTATTTATTTACTTATTTACTTATTACATATCAATAAGACACATATAAAGAAAAAATAACATTCTTAATATAAACCAATTAATCCAAAACACTACAACTAATATAATTAGTTCAATATTTATTGAACTAATTATTATAAAAATATATTCAATTATAGTTAATTAAAATAGATTGATAAATAATAAAAATGTTAATTTGATAGTTTTCTATGATTCTTTCTTTGTTTTTTTGTCTTTAATAACTTCTTGATATATGTACTGTTATTAATAAATTGATTCTAAGTACATAGACTTTACATTCATGATAAGTGCCAACTTATGTTAAATAAAAAATAGAATATTTCTACAACGCGAATACAGTTGATATATAAATATAATAATATAAAAAGAAAAATCGCTTGAGATTTTGTAACAAAAGAGGAACAAAAACAAAACAAACAATGAATAGAAATAGTTAAGAATTTCTAAAAAGCAAAAAAAAGATCGATATAACGTTTCGACGATGAATGATGAAAGAAATTAATGATAAGAAAAAAAGAAACGTATTAGATTTGAATAGAAAAGGGAGGAGAGTGTTGACTGTTGATAACGAGTTTTATATGATGGAAGAAAGACATTGAAGTCATGATTAATTACTACAAGTAGAAAAGCTTTGCACATGAAAAGACAAACAGATGCATTTTGACTTCGATAAATACCATAATAACAACAACAAAACAAAAAAGAAAGAAACTCATTAATAATATAATAATTTATCAAGATAATGATTAGATCGAAATGTATGATTTCAAGGTCCATATTATAGTTAATTCAATTAATCATAGAAGGTGGCAGAAAAAAATTTAATAAAAATCTATTACTTTTTTTCTATTATGTTAATCAATTAGCTCAATATACCGAGATTTATTTTAAGAGCTAATGAAGTTTCCTGTATCATACATTCTATAAGAAGATTTCTAAAACAAAATCATACACGATAGTTTCCAGGTTCTATCAGAGCACTTTTTAAGAGTACCATTTTAGAGAGAAAAAAAATGAGGCGTGGTCAAATTTCCTATCATCTTCTCTCAAGAAGTTTAAAATACCGGAAAAAAAGAAAGTTTATCAACTAATGGCTAAAATACGCCTTCTTATAATGTTTGTGATGCCTTTAAGTTTTTAAGGGAGGATCGTAGAAAATGCAACGATCCCTCGTTTTATTTTCTGTAAAATGGAATTGTTAAAAACATATAGCTCCTATAAACACTATCCTGTTCGATGTTTTTTTAAGGACACTTTGCTATATAATGTATTATATAAAAAACTTTATTAGCTATGAAAATCACTATGTGGTTATTGAGCTAATTATTTAACATTACAGAAAAAAAAAAAAGAAATACGTTGTTGTTAATTTTTGTCCCATCACTTTATTTATATGTATATAAATATCTAAATATTGTATATTAAAAATTCTTATAGGCATGTTGTTGCTTGTTGTATTATATTTAATTTGGAAAGCTCGTGCTCGTATATGTCGTTTTTCATCAGCTGGAGTCGGTAATCCACGTTTATCAGCAGTTAAATTTGATTTAGATTATTGGCTTAAACAAGTCGATTTACTTGAAGCAAAAGAACTTGAACGTCATCGTGGTGGTCAATCTCTTTATCTTGAATTACCAAATGTAGAACCACGTGATAATCATGAAGCAACAGCAGTATGGATTGCTGATGCTTATCGTCAATGGCGTCTTCTTAAATATCGACAACAACAGCAAATTTTGCGAAAAAATACAAATCAACAATCAGAAATAAATCCTACACCTTATCGAAGACAACGTAATCGAATACGTCGTTTTATACGACGACTTTTTACACCAAATCGTCAGAATCCATCATATTTACTTGAACATACACAATCGTTGATTAATGATATGAGACCTAGTATAGTAAGCAATAGTTTTATCCCACCATCACTTACACCTACATTACCAATTCGACGAACTTGTTCATGGCCTCGAATTAAATCCAATCATCATCAAATAGGTGCCCCAATGAGTGCTCTTCAAACACATCTGGCTAGAAAACGTCTTCTCAAACGAATATCAAGAACTACATTTGATATATAGGAGAAAAAAAGCAGCAGCTTTCAATATTTGATTGTGTATCATTTTGTTTTAGCCTTTATTGTTGTTTATATAAAAAAAATAAAAATAAAGATAGATTTTAAGTATTATTTTTATGCAGACGAAAAGAAAAACAAAGAAAAAAGTCTATCATTTATTACTATTACTTGGCAAATTAATACTTATTATCATAAGTATATATACATGAACTATATAATCTGATCATAATGGTTTGTTTTTCTTCATTTTAAGCTTTTATGTTAGGATACAAGAATTGACAGGCACTCTTTTTTAAACTGTCTTTTTCAATTTTTATTGAAACTTTTTATTCGACTTATCATGTTTAATTGAAAGTGATCGTAAATGGATGTTTTTGTGTATATGTAAGGGCTAGGCGGAAAGTGTCTAAACAAAGTATTTGCACTTGTTTCACTTTTAATAGTGTATTACAATCAGCATTTTATATACTTTCAAATTATATGCTTAGAATTTTTCTGTGACTTTTGAAAAGACTGAAAACCTTTTTTTTTATCGACAAAAAAAGCATCAAATAAAAGTTCTTTTTTTTTTAATTGTTGACGTGCAATAAAGACTTTTATTAAGTCTATCGCAAGTAAAACGGCAATTTATTCTGATTTTCGCCTATTCAGTGCAATATTACCCTTCACTATAACTCTATCTTTCTTTAGTGGATTAATCAAAACTCTTTCGTTCTTGCATCATTTCGTAGAATAGAGGTCACTCTCAAGTATGAGATATTTTCCAGAACTTATTTAATGTCTACAAGAAGCAGACTACCCTTCAGAAAACTAAGATATGTTTGTCTTTCCAGAAAAATTTATTTTGGGTTCTATGAAAATTTACTCATAGTTTTAAGAGTTCATAGATAAATTCTAAGGATATGTTTTGAGAGAACACAAAATTGTGAAAAAATCTGGTTAAATACATTTTCTCTAGAGTCTATTGGTCCAATTCTCATATCTAAAGGTGTCGGTATACAATTAAGTTGATTGCCAATGTCAATTCTATTACATTGGATTGGATTATAGACCCACATGTTTGACATATACTTTGTTTCTTAGAGCAAAGTGCGAAAAAATGTATGTCTTGACAGAATAATCTGTTTGTTTGTGAACATATGTCGCTTGTTTTCATTTGACCTTTTCTTTTTTGTTTTTCTTACCCGCCAAAAGAAAAAAACACACAAATAATTAACAAGAAAATTGATTTTTCTTATAAGTTTAAACATAATATTATGTGTTATGAAATCGAATGTGAATTTTGAAGATTAATTTAATGAGAAAAGAAAACGATTTGTAATTAAGATCAAATTAAGCTTTTATCCAAAAAGAAAGATAACATAGAGATAAATAAAATATAAAATATTTTCATAGTAAATCTAAGATAACTACTAAATAATTTTGATTGACATAGTATACTATTAAATTACCATACGTTTATCTATTAGTTGTTTACTGATCTCTATGGCATACTTGTCTTCTCTTTCATCAAGTTGTCAGATATTTGTTTTCCTGATATTTTATTATCAACGTCATTGCTCTAATTTTTTTTTCTTGATGTGAATTAAGCATTTTTTGCATTAATTGTATGATAATTATATTTATACTTCCATAGGGTCAAATTTCTTCTTATGGAAGCAATAAACATTGACGAAAAATATCTTGATATACAGTTTGTTGATTTATGATGACATAGTGACCAAAGGTTTAAGTGGCATTTTTTTTTGTGTTCAATTTCAATATGTAATAACTTTAATGCTATTTTGTGAAAGTGATAACTGAAAATATTAACAATCATGAGAAAGTTGACAAAAAAATTCTTTCTTATTCAAATATTTGTGGACATTTAAACTGCTATATTGCTATGTTAATAATATTTAAATGACTCTTTTGTGAGCGCAAGTTCGAAATTCCTGCTAACCAACCAAGCTTTTCAACTGATCCTACTGCCAATTCTCTTAGGACTTTTCCTAGAATAATGTGTCCAATATATGGACAAAATGACATTGGAAACGTCTGGGACCAGATAAGAATTTCTCCTTGTAAGAAAAGTATGAATTAGTTTGATAAGAAAAATTTCTTGATAAATAATGATATAGATCGAAACATTCATTTTGTCAAATAATAGAAAGAATTGAAAAGATGAAAATCAATTGAAATCATTTTATTCATTAAGAAATAATGAAAATATGAATATGATCATTGAAAAGTGTAATTTGTAGGGTCAAAATATTTCATGAACAATATGTATGTCCATGTAAAACCAGGCCATATTGCTGTATTATTTCCTTTCGAATCTTGATACCATGAATGACAACCACCACTTTGCCATACTGTTTTCTTCAAATTCGATTGTATTTTCTGATTATATTCATCATGAACATTTTGTTTAACATCGAGCATTCGAACATTCTTCTCGTCCACGTATAAAAGAGCTTCAGCAATATAATTTATTTGCGCTTCGATCATTACAATAATGGAATTATGACCAAGACCAGTATTTGGACCAAGAAGAAAGAATAGATTTGGAAAATTTGGTACAGTTACACCACGATATGCCTAAGCAAAGCCGAAGAAAACATTAATATATATGTATAAATATTTTCCTGAGAAACATTTACCTGAAATGTTTGTGACCATTGTTCTTTTAATGAACGACCATTAATTCCATAGACAGGTAGTGAGAAGTTCTGTACTTGAAATCCAGTTGACCAAATAATAATATCCACTGGATATTCATCGCCATCACGAGTAACTATTGAATTTGATTTTATTTCTTGAATACGATTTGTAATTAATTTTACATTTGGTTGTTGCATTGATGAATACCAATCATCAGATAATAGAACACGTTTACAACCTAAATCATATGATGGTGTTAGTTTTTTTCTTAACTCTTTATCTTTCACTTGTCTATAGAGATCATATTTAACGACTCTTTGGAAAGCATGTCGAATAGGTAGACGATAAGTAAATGAGAGTACAGCTGATTCACGTACCCAATAAATGAAAGCACGAATAAATTTTTGAATAATTGGAAATCGTTTAAAAATTCGTTTTTCTAAATTAGTAACAACACGATCAAGACGTGGTATAATCCATGGTGGTGTACGTTGAAAAACAAGTAATTGTGT